ATATATATATATATATATATATATATATATATATATATAAAATGGTCTCAGTAATTTAAATAAACATAGTAAAAAAGTCAGAAAGAAATGTGCTAAAATGTTAGAAGTAGCAAGAACTGCAGGTGATAATATTCTCCTGCTTAATAAAAGTAGATATTAGTTTGTAGTCAGAAAGAAAGGGGAAAATTTTTCAATGTAACACAATCCATTAATTTATATTAATAAATCCTAGAGTGTTAAGTGTGTGTCACTCTACTAGATACTGGAGAGGCAGTGGGAGACACATCAAATAGAGTCCTTACCCCCAACTAGGTTACAGTCCAGCAAGGGAGAAAGAGATGGTAATAAAGTGACTTTTCAAATAACTATGCAAGCGCAAATTATACACATCGCAGAGTATTTATAGGAGTTTCACCCAAGTTTTCATCTGGTTTTATTTTCTTTGCTATCTATTCCTACAAAAAGACTACCTATCATTATTTATCTGTTAATAAGTAACAATAAAAGGAAACTAATTTTTTTTATTATCCCTCTTTTTTTAAAAAATGTTCTTAAGTTTTCAATTTCAGTTGACACACAATATTATATTAGTTCCAGGTGTACAAAGAGTGATTACATATTTATATAACTTATGAAGTGATCATTCCAATACAAAACTTTACATTTTAAGAAGATGTTGACTGGCACCTAATGGTATATCATGTAAGATGTCAACTATATTAAAGAAAAATCAGGAAAACAAAAGGCAAAACAATACAAACATTTTCATAGGACCTTGTAGTTCTCTGAGCATTTTCATATTCCTACTTTATTTGTTCTTCATAACAGCCCTATGCTGCATGTTTCATAGAAATCTATGCGCCATGTTCTACATGGTCATAATTAAATGAAAACTCAACATTATAATGCCTTTTAAAAGATCAGCAAAATTAAATCTTAAAATTACCTCTTATTAACTAGTTTTGTGAAATGCTATATTGCAGTCATGCAGTTTTATATTTGCAACCCAAAATACTAAAGTTCTGAGATCTTTTTAGATAAGTTAGACATACAGCAAATACTCATTTTTTATGAATTAGTATAAAATCAATATTCAGCTGAAGCTGAATATCACCATCCCAGAATGAACTCTTGTGATAAAGAATGTGAAATTTTGTGAAAAAATTGTTATAACTAGATTATTTAAAAATTTAGTAACCAATGTTTTAAAATATAACATCCTGCAGGAACAATAATTTCTCAACATTATCAGCTGCAAGGTTGCTCCATTGGTTATCATAATGCACATTTATGATACTAAATTATATATTTTCATCTTAAGGGAACTGAAAAATAAAGTATTTTTTGACTAATTCTGCCAATAATTGGTACAGTACTGCTGATGACAATTTGCTCTCTAATAGTAGCTAACGTAAAACTTATCTCCTTTCCAACTCCTGGACTTAAAGATTTGGTCAATGGTGCAGATACAAATTTAATGAAGAAATCCCACAAAGTGCACTTCTTTAATTTTATTTACTGATTTTAGAGAGAGAGGGGAAGGGAAATAGAGAGAGAAAAAGAAAGAAACATCGATTTGTTGATCCACTTATTTATGCATTCATTGGTTAATTCCCCTATGTGCCCTGACCAGAGATTGAACCAATAACCTTGGCTTATTGGGATGATGCTCTAACCAACTGAGCTACCTAGCCAGGGCCTAAGTGCACTTCTTGAAGAAATGCTTTCTAAATCTTTTCAAAAGCAGACTTAAGATCGTTGCCCTTGGTTATATTTTTATTGCTAATAGATCTATATGTACTTAAACCATGGATCTGAAATTGTGGTAATGGTACAATGTAACTGGCTTTCAGGATGACAAAATTCTGATTTTCTATCTGCATTTCAGCTTTCGCTGTTTGAACACCAATTTGTGGCCTTCCTTGTAGTTAAATAGGGAGATTTTTACAGAAGATGTCATACACCATAAAGAAATACTTATAACCTTAAGGAAGTAAGTTTGTTTACTTCTCCAATCAGTAAACAGCAGCAAATGAACCACTTTCTCTGCAGGCAAGCAATGGCTGCTAGAAGTCCTGCACTGTTGATGTTGATGTCTGCAAAGCATGGTATTACAGCTTTCTTTTGCCCACGCAACCTTTTAAATACATAACAGCTCCTGAACCATCTGTTTCAATACATTACAAGGCAGTTCTAAAATATCTTGTATGCCATATAGTCTGTCCTTGACAAAAGAAAATTTCAGTACAGGTTATATCCAGAGTGCCTGTCAGTATTTGAAAGTGAGTATTCAGATATTAACAATAAATCCAAATACCATGCCTTATTCATATTTCTAATATTGGACTGATTACGTATGATGATAACCCACACAATGATAGGGTCATTGATCATATGTGGGCTCAGACATGCAGAAATGTTTTTAAGTAGGCATTCAACTATTCAGCATTGCAAAGGCTAAAGCTAAACAACAGATCTTGAGTAAATGCTGAAGCCAAGCTGAACTTCACTGCATTCTTAGAATAATTTAGATTCTATTCTTAAGATAATTCAACATTATTTCTTCCTCCTCCCAAAGACTATGTGGACAAGTGTATGGGGGTAGTACATACGTCAGAAGTCTATTTGTGCTCTAATAAATCAAGGGATAGAAAATGTGCCCTTAAGCATAAGGTAACTAGTGAAAAATCAAGCAGTGTTTTATTTTTCTTAATCCACTTAAAATGTTTTTGTCAAGCAGTGTTTTAGAACTTAAAATAAAAATTTAAAAATAAGATACTAGTACAAAAGGCATTAAAAATCTAGTCTGAAAATTTAGAAAGTGATAGTCAACATAACATAAAACTTGTGACAGAATATATTTCAACAGATAATGTAGAAGCAAAGTATCACAAAAAAATAGAAGGAAATGACTTAAAAAACTGAAGAGAGGCAAATTAGATTTTTTTTATTTTTCTTTTTTGCTTTTAGCAAACATTAGCTGAGCTTGTCTGGGGAAAACTTTTCTTTATATATTTAATGCCATTTTAATTGTTTTACCATAACTCCTTATCTTCTCAGAAACTTTGCTCTTATAAACTTTTATCATGCATTATACATTTTATACTTATTTACCCAAATTAGTGGTGAGAAATTCCTTCATCACAAAAATTCTCTGAAATTGCTATCTAAAAAACACAGAAGCCAACGAAGAATCATTTCCATTATCCCTACCATTATTCCCCAAGTTCACCAGTTGTAGGTGCACCCTGTTTCATCAATTCAATATGCTACATATTTTCTTCAAGGTTAATATATAAAGATAATTATCCAAAATTTCTTAATCAACCCCCTAACTTCTATTACTCTACGTAATGAAGTTATGTACCTTATAAAGGTGTGAAAAAGTCAAATTACTTGAAATAAAAATCTACATTTTATTTCAAGGTGTCTTTTATATAGTATAGAATTCTGATAGACTTTTCATTTCACTTAACTTTTCCTTAAATTTATATTAACGAAAATTTAAAAATCATAATCTGTGATTTGGCTAGAAATGTTTACATTTAAAACAGCACTAATCAAAGTAAGTAAAGGATTTTACAAGTCTAAATACTTAGTTTCATCACAATTCTAGGCCAAAAGAGTAAAAAGGTATCAAAAGAAAGGAGGGAATTTACCTTTTCAGTTCATGTCTTCTTTTTACATTACACTTTAGAATGCCTATATGATCTGATTTCTGGGGGGAAAAAAAGTATCATTAAGGAAACTTAAGTTGTACAGTGCTAATATAGTGGCAGGGGAAAGAGACTGGGAGACAACTGTTTTATATACATATGTGTTAGTGAATAGGTTGACAGAATAATTTAATAAATCCTTCCAATAAACTTGTGAAATAGGTATCATTATCATCCCCCATTTTACAGATAAAGTACCCAAGACTCAAAAAGAGCAAGTATCTTCCGCAATGTCACAGAGCAGGTCAGCAGCAGAGCCATGACTTGAAACCAGATCTATCCACTATGTTCTGCCACCCTGTCTCTCTCTACTCTGGAGAAATAGGATATAGTCCTTTTCCGAAAGAGCTTAAAGTAGAAGAATAAAGTAAAGAGAAGTATAAAAGTATGTACAAATAACCTAATAAAGGACACAATTCAGCATCAAAGCAGAAAAGTAAATGATAAGTTGTAAAAGTGTTTAAAACATCAACCACCAAAAGTTGGAACATACCTAGGAAAAAAACTAGACAAAATTATATGCTAAAGATTTAATATAGATTGAATAAAGATTAATGAGCAAAAGAAAAAGCCATTCTCAGCTAAGAGTGCTTACACATTTTAAGAAGCTAAAGATGACTGGAATAAATTCAACAGAGAGAAAATAAAACAGCCTAACTAGGGGCAGAAGTTTTGAGGAAGAAAAAAGAAAACTGGAGAGTTAGGGTGTGACCAAATTTAAGAGTGTCCTGAATGACAAACTAAAAAGTGCGTGAAGGTTTTTTAAGAGACGAAATATGATGAAATCAGTATTTTAAGAAGGTTAATATAGCAAAAGTAAGTTGAAACAGTTTCATTATATGAAAACAAAGAAGTTCTTAAAAACACAATTCTGCATTCATGGAATTTTCACTACTTTTTCTTATAACCATAACTCTGTAGCTATCGTGACATAAACCTAACTTCAACTTGAATGTCGTAAGTACTTCACCAACCACCCAAGTACTAGCTTCATGTTTTAGTCTGCTGTCATTGCTTCTAATTATTTATGTGATGGTGGAAAGAACTTTGAACTTGGCTTTGTTGCTGGGCACAGCAGGTACTTGAATAACATCGTTTTCTTCAGTGTTTTGTTATAACATTGATGAGATGTTGTAGGAATTTAACTTTTGTTTGTATCAATTAGCCTACAATAAAATTGGTTTCATTATAAGTCATTTCACTTAAAGTCACAGAGCCTACCAATGATGTTGAGAATTTATTGTACAATTTTGTGTCTTTGGACAAGTCAGTCACTTAACCTTCTGGATCTTAATTTCTGAACTTGAAAATGCAAACACTATATCTGCCTTGGCTATCTCAAAAGGAAAATTGCAGAGACAAATATAACCACATGTGGGAAAAGACTTTAAAAATGTCTAAATTTATACCCATGCTGTGTAATCCCAAATAACAAGGTCTATTAGCAAAAAGAAATAAGGAACTTGATAAATGCTTTTTTGGTGAGTAGAAAGAAGGGAAAAAACCAACCTGGTTTTCTTTCCATCGGCTATCAAAAAGTAAGCATAATACAAGGCAAAAACTAATGAAAAGGTAGTGGGGGAATATATATCATAAACCTTCTAATTGTACATTCAAACTTTAATATAATTTTTGGAGTTATAGTGTCTAAACACTCACCTGTTTTCTCTTCTCTGACGAAATGGATCTGACAGAGCAAGATGAGCTAGAACTTGCTGAAGTTTTTTTATCTTTTTTATCCTAAGAATGACATTTGGAAAAAAGGAAAGAAAAGCACAAATAAGTCACAGTATAAGACAGCATTATTTCATCACTGTTATAAATCAACATTCTTTTTACATTAATAATAAATTTCAGAGAGGAACAATGTTCAAAAGCACAAAAACTATTAGAAGGAAGGGAAACCCAACTAGAAGGGAGACTCAACAGAAACCAGAAGATCTAGGTGCTCTGAAATTAGAGATGAGGTGGGACACAGGTGTTACAGCAGAAGGCCAGCTGACAGCTCAGGTAGGGGTACTGGGAGGTAGCATGGCCATGGTGGAATTCAGTCTTCTACAAAGCAAACCCATATATCCAGTTGTTTTTCACTGGGTCATAAGTTCAACAGACCCAGGACAAATATATTCTGAGTACCTAACATGTGCCAAAGATGTTCTAGACAGTGGGGACAGAATAATGAAAAAAACTATAAAAGTCCCTGCCCTCGTGGGGATTAAAATCTACTGCCGGAGTTTACAAATAAATAAGTACTATATTTAGTGTGTCACACTATGCTATGGGGAAGGGGGGGCAGAGAAAAGAATCAGGAAATGTTGGGAGGTAGGGCTGAGGCAGTTGCAATTTTAAAGAGTAAAGACGTAAAGAATGGATGGAACAAACCATGTGAATATCTAGGGAAAGGGTTTTAAGTTCAAAGGGAATAGCAGCAAGGGCGAAGCCCCTGAGGCAGGCATGTGCCTGGCTTGTTGGAACACAACAAGGAAGCCATGGGGTGGAGAAAGCAAAGCGGGAAGGAGAGAGAGGAGAGATGGGGAGAATAGGTCACTTTGTTGGCCCCAGCAAGAACTTAGGCTTTTACTCCGGATGAAGTGGAAAACCACTAGACAGTACTGAGTAAAGAGGTGATGTGATCTGACTTACATTTTAATAGGATAACTCTGGCTGTTGTGTTGTGAAGAGAACACAAAGAGACAAAGGTAGAAGAAAGATCAATTTAGAAATTGTTGGAATAATCTAGGAAAGCAAATCAATTGCTGGATCATGGTGATAGCAATAGAGGAGGTAGCAGACTGAATATATTACTAAGAGAAGGCTGATAGAATTTGCTAATAGACTGGATGCAGGTAACAGATGATGACCTGGGTTTTGGATCAAGCAACTGAAAGAATGGTAATGCAATTTACCAAATTGGGAAAACTGAGGCTGGGCACTTAAAAGGTTATTGTTTAGGAAGATGAGAAGGAACCAGCAAAGGATACTGTGAAGAACTCACCAGAGGAGAAAATTCACTTAGTCTCAAAAGCTAAGTGAAGAAAGTGTTTCAAAGAGAAGGTAAAATCAGTTATGTCAAATATTGCTGATTAGTCAAGTCAGATGAGGTCTTAAAACTGATCAATGCATTTAGCAGCATGGAAACTCTTGCTGGCCTTAATGAGAGCATATTTGGGGGGGGGGTGATGGCAAGAAAAGTCTAGTTGAAGAAGGTGAAGAAAGAGAGGAGAATTTCAAACAGCATGTCAATTACTAGTGTCAAATAGGGTTACATAAATCCAGGCAAAAATTCCAGGGTCCCCTTTCTAATTATCACTATACCTGTGAGGCCAATTTAGTAATCAGAAAGTAAGCAAGGAACAAACACCAGAAAGTGTAATGATCTCTAGAATACTTCATTCAAGTGATGACAAAGCTTTATAAACTAACCTGCTACCACAGAAGAAGTCACTTCTTTAGTGAACATCTACCTTTGCCAGACTGTAGTCTCTCATCTTGAATGATAATACGGTATAGCATAAACACTAATTCTGATGATGCACTATGCAGACTATTTGGAGAGCTTATAATAAAACTGATTGCAGGGTATTTTGTTTGCTTGTTTTGATTAAATCAATCATGTGACAGTCTTGCTTCCTGGAGACAACATCTAGATCAATTATTTAGCTATCCTAAATTTCACCCACCAAAATACTACTTTTTTAAAAAATACATATATCTTTATTGATTTCAGAGAGATGAAGGGAGAGGGAGAGAGACAGAAGCATCAATGATAAGTCAGAAACATCAATGATGAGAGAGTCATTGATCGGCTGCCTCCTTCATGCCCCCTATTGGGGATCTAGCCCGCAACCTGGGCATGTGCCCTGACCAGGGATCGAACAGCAATCTCCTGGATCCTAGGTCAATGCTCAACCACTGAGCCACGCTGGCTGGACACCAATATACTTCCTAAGGTACTGTGCTGACAGTATCAGAAAAGGAACATAGTAAGCATCCATTCCCTACCCTCAGCCTCTCCTGCACCTCCCCATTTTGAGTGATGAGCATGTAATCCTATCCAGTGTTGAGTAAATGCAGAAGGAAGAAGAATGTGGAATATGGTCTAATGGTGAGTTATTTCTATGAAAAGGAGGATTCTGGAAGGTTTAGAATTGAAGTCAGGAATGCTTAGGCAAATTACTTACCTCTCTAAGCTTCAGTTTCTTCACCTGTGTAAATAGGACAGTAATAGTACCTACTTGACAGATTTGTGAGGAATAAATAAAATAATGCAAGTAGAGAATGCGAAAAACAAATGACTTCTGGGCCAGAAGGGCAGAATAATATACTTACATACATCATTTTAAAACAGAAGAGTATTTTTTGCATTACACAAAATTAACTGTAAAAAAGGGTGTTTTGGGGTTAGTAAATCAGAATTCTTACTTCTTCATCAAAGCTGGGTAACGAGGTGATATCTTTCCTCTGGGACCTCTCTCTTTTTCCACAAGATTCTTTGTTGGACATATTGAAAAGCTAAAACAAACATTAAACACACATTATGTGTTTTTTATCACAATAAAACAATATGTTAGAAATCATTCTTTCAATTATTTAAAGATTGGGGTTTTACAAAATGATTCCCATTTTCTAATAATTCCTAAGATGATAAGATTCTGTCATTGTTCCATTTTATTTCTGTTATATTCTCCCTCATAATGATCTATTCCTCTCCTTCAGCTTCATCTATCACCTTTTTAGGAATGAATCTCCAAACTAAGCCTTTAGCCCTGACTTCTCTCTTGAGTATCATATGACCATTTTCAACTATCTGCAGGACTACTGTATTTTTGTCTCACCCACACCTCAAAAACCAATTAGTCCTAAGTCTTCATTTTCCTGACACCTTCTCTGTTGCTCTGTCAGCGAGACTTCGGGCAAACAACATACATTTTTTGAGCCCATTTCATTATATGTAAAATAGAGATAACCCATCCCAGAGGGTTTTTGAGGGACTGAAATGAAACAATGGATATTAAAAATACCTTGCACAGGTAGAGCATAGTAGTGTCTATATAAATACTGGCTTATGTGGTTGTCTTTCTACTAGACCCTGAGCTCCCTGGAGAATATGCTGTATTAAAAACTCAGGACGTGCTCATAAATGCTTGCTGAGGGAATGAATAAGTGATTTTTTTTCTTCCTCGGAATATTTACTCTTTAATTCTGAGCCACTACCAACTCTTACCCATTGCAGGCCCTCTGTCAACTTCCCACACCAGTCTCACTTTTCCAGCCCTGCTCCAAATCAAGTCAATACTGTTAGCTGCTGAACCCCCATCCAACCCGCACCGGCACCACCAAAGGTAGTAAGACAAACATAGTCATTCCTTATGGTCATAAACACTCTCTGTCAAGTAGAGTATACCAAAACATCCTGTGCTGGAACCTAGAGGTCCAAAACTGGGAACATCACCAGGACTGTTGGGACAGGAGAATATAAAAGGGGGGTCTAGAAGCAAAGCCCGGAGGAGAGTTTATTGCTGGTAGTGACACACATTGAGACTATGAACATAAAGGCTAGAATCCAAGCAATTGCAATTACTCCTGATCAATCATGTCCACAGTAAGTGAAGTTCTAGGAAAGAATCATCAATTACATAAAATCAAACATTTAGAATGCTTTGATGAATATGAAGAAAGATGCTGACATTTAACAAAAAATCTAATAATATTAATAAAATATTCAGCATGAACTTCTAAGAACAGATCATAAATTATCCAGAAATTTTGTAAGATAATTTATGGCAATAACTGAATTCACAGTTGAGCTTCCAGATTAATCATCTTCTTGCTCTAAGGAGTCCACTCCACT